TCACATGATCCAATTCAGGCAGCATGGTATGGTGGCAAGTGGCACCCTTACCACGCGAGCGGTCCAGGGATCAAATCCTGACTCGTGACTCGCGCATCCCTTCGGGGTCGTTAATTGGTACCAGACTTGTCTGGGAGGATAAAAACACTGACTTGTACATCGGCTGGCCCCCGCAAGTCATTGTATAGGCCACATCGCATTCAAACGCCACTACGAATGTACAAATGGAAGTAGAATGCGTGCCGCATCCCAAAAAGGGATTGATCAACGGCAAATGCTATCCTCCTTTATCCTTTCAATCCGATCGTTTCGTACAGTACCGCTTGCAGGTACTTCGCAGCCTCAACCCCTCTGCTGGGAGAACTTCGTGATTATTGTGGTCTTTTAAGGTTTTTTAGGAGAGCGCCGGGTCTTTGTGGTAGAAATTAAAGAAATTGTGGCTTCTGGACTTGCATCGAGGTCTCGCAAGCTCGCCTATTGTCCGGAATGGTTGGTGTTTAGAGAAATATGGTAGGTACACGGTCAGAGGTCTTACACGGTGCAGCAGTGGAACCTTTTTTCTCCCCGCTGGTTTTCACGCTGAACGGGTTTCTACGATTCGTGCACGGCATTATAGCAGTTGCTCCACTTTTTACTTTCTGCTCCACTTTTACTTTTACTCTCGCTCCGCAGACCCTCACCATCAGCAGCCACACACGAAGAGCTCTGGAGGCAGAACTGTGCGCCGTCAGGGCCATACTAAGGGCTGCAGGCGCTCTCTCCGCCTCCAAAAGCGCCACGCCGTCACATACGCAGTCAATTCTACATCTACCTAATGTACAGTAGCGGTCAAAAGTGATCGCCGAAACGGTTTTCCGCGCTTCATTTTTTGTGCTAGAAAAAATTATTGATGACATCGACAATTCTTTGTCCTAACTTCTATAGATTGATAAAAAAAGGATAAAGCATTTGCCGTTGATCAATCCCTTTTTGGGATGCGGCACGCATTCTACTTCCATTTGTACATTCGTAGTGGCGTTTGAATGCGATGTGGCCTATACAATGACTTGCGGGGGCCAGCCGATGTACAAGTCAGTGTTTTTATCCTCCCAGACAAGTCTGGTACCAATTAACCGACCCCGGAGGGATGGAAGGCTTGGTTGGCCCGGGCGACTCACGACCCAGGATTTGATCCCGGACCGCTCGCGTGGTAAGCGTGCCACTTGCCACTACACTTCCGCCCCCTTCAGACATTGCATTGAATACATCCGATGGCTTTACTGAGCTAACTTATTCCATTATGGATTTCATTACTTTCAACTGGTAGATACTAAATGAACGTACTCTTCGTTTCACCACGGCTTTGACTGATTTTGTAAGTGATTTTGCAGATCGAGATGAAACAGATCGTGTTTTTAAAACGTTTGATAGCTTATCCGACGGAACCTTGATGGAACTTCCTTCTTGGATGTCGTTGGCCGTTTTTTTTTTAGACACTTTCGTCGTTCGGCAGAATCAGTACCCTCTTCCTTATTCCTGGAACGTTAGCGAATTTGCGCATGGGAAACGGAACAGAATGTACCTTACGGTTTCGCAAAAGAGCACATTGCTGCTTGCTAATCATTTTCCAACACAATATATTATATTTATAGTTTCTGGTTCACCAGAATTTCAGATGTTTAAATCTAAAATTTGGATTTTTGGAAGGCATCCAAAGACACTCACCCTTCCATTCTATCTTTCGACTTTCTCCGTGGTTCCTTCTGAAAACAGAAATGAGATGTGTGCAAAGCTTCATCGAATTGCCAGAGAGTTTGTAGGGTTTCAGGGATGATGAGATAAGCCGTTTGGACAGAGCGAGCACCTGAAGTAAGGCGTGAATTACGACGTTCCTGCCGCAATCACGTACATTGCGCTCGCAGCGACGCGCTTTCTGCGGTAGCCATTCTGAAGGTCATGCCAACAACGACGCTACCCCTTCGGTCCAGGGCAGCAATCCAAAAATGGTCGAGCGTCGCAGCGTACGCTCCGCCGCGCGGGCGGGGAGCCTGAGCGCTTCGCGCGCGAGCGTGTCTGTCTAGTTTTGTCAATTCCTATATAACCGCCGTCGTCTCCCCTCCATTCGCCTCATTTAGCATACAATCTCTTTCAACATTTGCTTGCAGACGAGAGGCATACAGTTCCGTTTAGCTATCCCGACAACTCACGCTCTCTCTTCGCTCGAGAGCAGAGAAAAACAAGGATCGGCTCAGAGGCCTCATGATCAAAAGTGAACAGTCTCACACGTTTTACCTCGTCCATTGCCCCGCTCCGCGCAATTTGTACCACCTCTTTCCCGTACGTAAAATCTGATAAACGGCTGCTAACTAGTTTAGCGGGGGGGCCGGGAGAAGCGCTTACCTGTGTCCTGACACTGCTCCTCTGAAGCTGTAGTCCAAGGGCGCAATACTCTTCGCTCGCCGCTGGGGAGAACTTACTAGCGACAATACCCCATGAGGACATTATACATCAGCGCGACTATCCTTCTTACATCTTCTCTTCTAACGATGAAGAGACGAGATAGGATTGATGCGAGAGAGACGCAGATACCAGCGCTAGAAGGCTTAAAGAGCAGGGAGACTGGAGCGATATAACCCCATGGAGCCCTAAAGGTGTGAAAAGCTTGCGGACCAGCTACCTTTTCATTGGAAAGAATCATACTACTTAGGTGATTCGTGGATTGGGCCTGCAAAGTGAAGCAATCGCCTCTATAGTAGAGTGGAAGGAACACCTACTTGGGGAGATCGAGATCCGGTTTCGAGACTCAACTGATGCAAAATGGTCATGAGCAGGCTGACAATAGTGTTCAGGGTCAGAAAGCACCAACAATGCTCGTTCTAGGAGACCCGATTGACATGCTCTCCACTGCTGAAGCGCCTGTGTTTAGAAGAAGAACAGCAGATCCTCGCGTGGCGTTTGCTCAAATGATACTGGAGCAGGTTCGGTTTAATCTGTTCTTTATGTCCTTTCGAAACAAGTCTGCCATATATGGTAAGGTAAGGCGCCCACTGGGCCAGGTAGGCTCTCATGTTTCATCATCAGTGATTAAACAATCATGAGCTTGGAAAATACTTTCGAAGATTACCGCAGACTGCATTAAAGATTTAAATTCCTTACTTCGCTTGAAAATGAAAGTGGAGGTGCGAAGACAAAATAGGGAAAAAAACTAGAAGAAACCATCAAAAATTTTGAAAATAAATGGCACTTTCTCATGTGGTGCACCTTGGCACGAAGCGAGACACAGCGCGCCGAGGAATACGCGAGAGTACGTCGTATAAGAGGGCGTAGACACCCGTCCGCAATGTGGAAGGTGCCTAGATCCTCTCCCAAGGCCCTAGCCTCTCAGCGCGATTTTATAGTTGCTCGAGAAATGACACAACAATTGTGTCTGCGAACCCTGCTACCCCATTCATAGAAAGGCCAATGCACTAGTCGCGAAATGTGTTTGTAAGGAATTGACCTAACATGAAGAGTTTTACCTCAGGTGAAATTAGAAAAAGACTTTAGGCGTTCAATTCCAGGGTGCACTCTATGTCATGAAGAAATTCAGAAGAGTACAGCGCTACAAACCATCAGAATTGACATTTCAGGCTTTCACAGAAAATAGCGATAAGAATAGGTAAGTAATGTGTGTAGATCCACACGCGCTCAGAGTTAAAGAGCTTTCTTTGGTGGTGATGCGGCAGTTTTAGAAAGTAATAACGAGTAGGGTCCAGTACAAGTCAAGGAAGTTTCGAAGGGAGGCTTTCTTAAGGATCACCTTAACCCAATCACGACCGGGCGGGATTTTCGAAGTGGGACACGTAACGCACGTGCCTGACATTGGGTCCAGGCGAAATCCATCTGTTTTTTTGTTTTTTTTTTCTATGATCATCTGTAGTTCACGCTGAAACTTATCCTTACGAAGGGTTATCAAGGGTCCTGATCACGATTATGGGATTCCATTTTGGCGCTGGCGCCAAATTGGCGCCATTTGGCGCCAGATGGCGCCCTGACTGAATTTCGTCAAATTCGATGTAAACTTGTATATAGGGGTTATTTGAGACCCTGATTACGAATATGACATTCATTTTTTTCCGATTGCTAAAATTTACGCCACTTGCTACGCCAATTTGCGCTACGGCGCCATTTGGCGCCCCTCTGGCGTAACAACTTTTTTCCGCCACATTACGGTGAAAATCTGAAAGCACTAGTTACTGATGGTCTTTATAATGAACATTATATCTATTCTTGATGTTTTTGGAGCAAATTTGGAAGCTCCAACCTAAATGCAAAAATTTTGTCATTATGAGGGATTGAACCTTGGACCATTTCCTCACCTTTTTTGGCCTTCGCGGGGCTGCTCAGCGAAAATGGACCTCGGTTTCGTAGTCTACGCATGAGCTCCCATAACATACAGAAAACCGTTTCGAAAAAGCTTTCCACATCCTGAACGACCCCCCTTGTTAGTCCTGATTGGATCCAATAGTGAGAAGGGTGCAGGCGAGCAGGAAACAGGTGTTAAATAGCGCCAACGACAAAACGAATGTCATATTCGTAATCAGGGCCTCAAATAACCCCCATACGCAAGTTTACAGCGAATTTGGTGAAGACACCCTTGGCGCCAACTGGCGCCAAATGGCGCCAATTTGGCGCCAGCGCCAAAAATGGATATCATATTTGAGATCAGGACCCTCGAAAACCCCATGGGAAAAGTTTCAGCGGAAAAAAAATTTTCAACTTTTTCGGTGAAATTTTAAGTCAGGTTATTTTTTCTTCAATAAAATTCTAGTGGATAGAGATTTCCGCCCAGGGGTGGCCTAGATAGATGAGGTATGAAGATTCTTCACAGCAAAGAAAATCTCCCAAAGACCTCCTTTTGTTTTCAAAATTGAAAGCACCCTTTGACTCACCAGACAATGTGCACTTTCCTCGGAAAGTGCCAGTAGGACATAATTTCGGTAGGTTCTTTATCAATTATCAGGCAAAGGAACGGTTAGCTGTCATTGAGGGAACCCGAGCAGGGGACAATTTGACAGTAAGGGAGGGAGTTACGTTAATATAACCCGCAGGGTGGTGGGAGAAACTGGTCGCTGATCGGGGTTATTACTGCAGTGGTTGAGTGTGGGGGTTTTGATGTACGAAGAGGGCTCTTGCTTGTTAGATTGAGGTCGTTTCAGCGGCGGTTCGCCTTTTAGCATTTTGGTGACTTATTGGTGTGCATTGTGCACACAAGGACAGCGGGGGACGATCGAAAGGCAGCGGTATGGCGGTGGCTGATGAGCGTCGGGCGTCTCGATGACCCTGCGCGAGGAAACATCTGGAAATGAGGGATGAGCTGTACCAAAAGTGAGAAGCAACGATTAAGAAGCAAATACCAACTGGAAAAGTAACCGCCTGGCACGACGGTGGAGATAATTCTGGCATCGCCGGAAGAAAAAGCGCGTATCGCATGACACTAATATCTGCCACTGGCCATGTTTTTTATGTTAGTTCACGTGACTCATTCGCATCTCCCTAATCAATAATGATGAGATAGATCAGACGCTGTCCGTGTTTATCGGAGTGAGCACAACCGATGCTCATTCGGCCAAATGTTATACGTGCTAAGCGTGAAAACCTTCCTGAGTCTTCCTCCACAGACCTCGTCTTTGGCGACGAACATGGATGATCAGGAATGGTTCACGCTAGTATACCTGACCGTTCGTAGGTGTCTGGACCGGAGTTAGCCACAAACATTTAGGTCAATGGAGCATTCGTGTGTCTACTTAACAGTAGGTTAGCAATTCTCAAGATGGTTCCGATCCACTGTGTGTGGACTCATTCGATTGACAAGATTGGGGGGAGATCAAGTTCACTTTCGGGAGGGCGGCAGGAAAATTCATTTGCACACAGTGAGAGCGGGACGGGGCTTACTTAACGAACTTTGCGCTAATTGAATTATATTTGCTGTTGTCCTTCGTTGCTTAGCGATCAAACTAATTATCGACTGGTTCTTCGAGAGGCAGGCTGTAACGATAAAGATGGATGCCTAAAGCAACCTACAGATCGAATTTGTTGGTCACAGCGGGTCACATTTGTGGGAGTGGGATCATTTGAAAAAGAAGCAAAAGGAAACGCGATAGAGCTACAAGACAAAGCCTTCCTTTAAAAAAGGAAGGGCTGGCGGTCAGAACGGAGTTCACGAAACTTGCCACTCACGCTCGACTAACCGCGCGTATTTGATGCAGCCTTATGCGCCGTAAGCCACGCTGTGGCGTCCATGGGTGGCGACGTAATCGTCCAAATGCCTGAAACTAGTTTGCGGCGTACCCAACAGGAGGCAGTCGCGCGGCAAGAAGGCAGGAGTCAGGCGACTACAGCGCGAGTTGATGTCGATGTAGCTTACGATGGTATTCTATTTAAGTTTGCACGAAGAACACACTGTGTACGAAATCGTCCGCAGACTCTCGCGCTTGGTTGACCGCGTAGATGGGCCTCCTGTGGGGGGTACCCAGTGGCCAATGAATGCTGACTTTATTAAGGGACTTTCCAGCGCCATTGAGGCGCCACCTGTCGAACCGCGATAACGCACAACTGTGCGAGTGAGGTTACTCTATCCCACCCTAGATAGATTCTGGCACAGTACTGCTGCTGGGGTGTGGTTGAAGGAGGCGAAATATATTCACACCAAAAATGGCTATGTCCGCAAGGGGATCGAGAGTGACGCTGTTTGGGCGAAGGGGTGGGAAGGATTTAGCAGATTCATACTATGGGATTGCTGTCTTCGTGAAAGAACCCCGCCTCCAGGTGGACTGATAGGTTGGTGACGAAGGGTTGCTGTTAACAGCTAGAGAGTGTAGAGAAGCAGGCCAGGGAGTTCATATGGATGATGCTATCTATTGTTGGTTCCTGTCCAATCATCTTCCTGCTCTGATTTACAAAAGCGACCAATTCATCATAGCAACTGCCTTTGGACCAGGGTCAACCGTCCGTTGGACAAAGTCCAACGGGGGGGAGGTCGTATTTGGGGTGGAAAAGAGGGGGTCGTATTTCGCGAGGTAGCGTTAATGTTACAGTAGAGGATGATTTATGAAACGGAGAGCGTATTGGGGTTGTTGGTTGAGATTTTGAGTGCGTAAATCCCCCCCCCCCACCCCCGCTCGACGGCAATTTTGGAGGGAAAAGTGGGCGGAGTTGGGCTGTGTCGACTGGTCTCAGAATCAAATACTATAGAATCGCCCCCATGATGGCGATGGCAGGCGAGGGTGGTGGAGGATGGTCGTGAGGGTTAACCCTGAGGGGGGTCGTATCGAGGCCCTCTAGAAGGGGAGGGGGTCGTAAAATTTTCGAAATTGGTCCAACGTGACGGTTGACCCTGCTTTGGACCCCAGTTTCACAGGCTGTTGTCGTGAAATTCTTCAATATGTGTGCAGAATGTAGCGCATCTGGCAGTGAAGCGGCCCTCCCCTACCGATTTTACCCCTTATTTTGAACTTAGTAAGAATCGTACTTTTTGTATTTTTCTACGCAAAACGACATTTTGGATAGGGAAATGTTCATTTAAGGCTCCTATGGACAACACACTCGGGGATTTCTGGCACATGGTACTACAGGAAGGCTGCCGACTTATAATTATGCTATGCTCACTCGTAGAAGGTTACCGTTTGCATCGCACTACTACATACATTGTACTTATAATATTTCGATCGAAAAGCAACTTCTCAGATGTCACATGTTTAGATGACATTGAAAAATGCGTTCCGTACTACCCGACATTAGTGGGTTCATCACTGTTGGTAGAAACTACCTATTATCACTTTAGTGGAGCATAAAAGTGATGGCCCATTGGCGGTTTCGACATTCCACGTCAAAAGCAGGTAAAAATTGCATGCTTTTTCGAACTTAAAGGCAGTGAATGCACTAATCAGGCAGCTCATATAAGGTGAGCCTGCGTATTGAAAGAGGAACTAGGCTCCTATACAGGTGATTTGTAGCCGTCCACGGCAAAGTGAGCGCTAAAAACAACATAGCAGAACCTTATGGAATTGCACCTGCACCTACGACCACCTGCAAATTCTGCAAGAACCGCATTTTCTATCGATAAGGACTCTGCACTTCGCACCAGAGGGGTGCTCGCAATGTTAGCCTTACGTTAGTGAAACTCATCAGCGCCTCAAAAATATTGGCTAGGAGGAGATTTCATTTCTTGCCGTTTTGCTTGATCTTTTACTTTTCGCACCAGCTACGTCGTCTTTAGCTTTTGAGTGGCAACTGACCAGCAAGCACGCGACGAATTGGCACGCACCCCCCCCTTACCTTTAAAGGTTCTTTGAAGGTTTGACTGATTCTACGGCAAATTTTCAGGGCAAAGGTGTTCATTTTGGCTAGTACCATTCTTGTTACCTTGAGCGACCCGAGCTTTCATTCACTGCGTACGCTTCACGCTTTTCGCTGTGCTTACATCCAAATGTAGGGTCAACTCTTGTGAAGCGTTTATGCACAAGGAACCTTATGTAGTACATAGGGTGTATTAACCATGATATCGCGTTCGAGTGATACCAGTGATTTGGACAACACATTCGTTGGCGTTGGTTTTGCATCGTCCGTTTCACTCTCCTAGCTCTGCTGCTGGCACTGCTGCGACGAAGAAATGGCTGGAGAATTGTGCTCGATGGTTTAGCAACATCGTGGCGTTGTAATCGCATTTCATACCCGACATCCTCATCACTGCGGCTTTCGCAAGACTTTGTTTAACAGCTGGCTTTCCTCATTTCATTCAAATCCCTCAGTACTTCGCAGACAGACAATCCTTTGAAATTGGTCATGGAATTCTGGCGTAGAGGCTTAATAACAAAGTGACACCAATCGAAATTGATAAGGTTGCTTCAACTTAGTTGGGGGGGGGGTGGCGTCTGTTCGTTTTGCGTCCTCTGGAGACTTACCAGGAAGGTCTTTCAGGACATGGAGCCCTTTTTGAAAACGGTTTTTTGCATGATAAAGGGGCACATGCATGAAGTACAAAACTAGGCTCCATTTTTTCTGAGCGGCCCTCTGGATGCCAAAAAAGGAGTGAAAAAAATTTCTTCAGAAATCGGAGTTTTCACACCTTCAACGTTCTTTATATCACTCGGTATGTTAAGTGGACGCACAATAGAAGGTTTTCTTCACCTGAACGTTGAAAACAGCGTGGAATAAAGCCAATACCAAAAATTGTATATAATAAGTGCTCAAAAGCACAAGGAAGTTTCATCAGAGTCGTTGACATTTCGTACAGCGGTGGTCGGATGGTCGAGTGGATAGCGTGATGGACTCTGGTTGGCACGGTTTGTTCGAAGTTGTTGGTTCGGTTCCCCTCCATGCTCGGACTTTTGCATTTTTCCGATTATCACTTTTCTGCATTTGCACGTGCTTGCGCGTGAACTTAAAGCCTATAGGTGTCATTTCCATGAACTTTCTCCCCAATTCTGCGATGTTTCGTAGTACCATGTTTTTTCAGTTGTGTACGAAATTCCGTTTACAAGCAATAAATAACTAGCAGTTATGGTAAAACTCAATGAAGCATCTGAATCACAGGCGCGGATCACACCAACTGCATCTAACGAACGCCAGAAAAGTGAAGTTGTCATTTTCTTCGCAAGGAACACCTACTCCATTTCCCTTGAAGGCAGATTGCCGGCGTTGAGGAACGTCCAGGATGCTCGTCGACGTATGCCAGTGCCCACCCAGGCATACGCCATGCATCGACGAGATCAAGGGGTGATGCCAGATTGCCCCATGGGCAGGAACTGCGGTGGAAGTGTAACTATCAACCAAACGTGCCGCTTGCTATCATCTCGAAGCTGTCTTCAAGTGGGAAGCGTGCATGCCGTACTGACTATGGGCTTACCCATGGCCCAATTTTTGAATTCGGGCCGAAATCTTGATCTTCTCTAAAACTGCGGCTATAAGGGTAATTATAGGCGCTGATTACGAATCTGACGTCCATTTTTGATGGAGGCGCGATATTGCGCCATTTTAGCCTCCTCGGGCACCAACTCGGCGCCGCTTTAGCGCCATACAATTTTCGCCCCAATTCTGGGCAGAAAGCTAATCAGAAAGGTTGATGATGACCCTGATTGTAAGAACAGTACCTATTTTTATCGGCGGTAACATTTGGAGTCATTTAACATGCGCTAACATGAAATGCAAAATTTTGTCATCAGCCGGGACCGATCCCTCGACCAATTTTTCATACCTTTTTTGGCACTCACAGGGCCGCTCAGAAAAAATGGAGCCTAGTTTTGTACTCCATGCATGTGCCCCTTTATCATGCAAAAAACCGTTTTCAAAAAGGGCTCCATGTCCTGAAAGACCTTCCTGGTTAGTCAAGGGGCAGTTACTATTTCGTCGCCACGTGGCAGTTTCGAGAAATGCGCCATCAGCGGACTAAGCCTTAGAAGAGCAGATGAAAAGAGCGCCGCGCCGCCGCGTGGTCCCCCCCCAAACTAAGTTAGCACCCTGATAACTAGTAACCTATAGTGTGGTTAGTGACAGCTGATAGAATAGTACTGCAACCGGCTAACCATTTCATTGGTAGAAAACGATTACACTTGTGGAGGGCTGTCGTCAGTTGTGCGGTGAAGCCTGTAGTACAGACTTCACAACACAAGTGACGTCGTCGGATACAAAAGGTACACACCGACAAATCGCATAACAAGGTGCATAAAATAGATGACTGAGCAATAAATATTTGCAGAGGTCGAGAGATGCAAGTTCGTCATTTACAATGTACAAGTTGGCCGGATCACTCGTCACCTATAAAAACCGATGCAGCTTTGGAACTCCACCGAGAAATTTCTGTCTGTCCTCCTAAACATCCAATACTTATTCATTGTTCAGCTGGTGTTGGCCGGACATGCACAGTTGTTGGTTGGTGAACTTCTTATGGTTAGCTGTCCCAAACAGGAGAAAACGTTAGGCCGATGTCAGACTTTGCGAATCGCGCGATTCGCTAGCGTCTGCGGTCGCGTCGCGGCCAGTGAATCACTCAATTGGCTGGTACCGCAACGCGACCGCGGACGCTAGCGAATCGCGCGATTCGCAAAGTCTGACATCGGCCTTAGCATTGCTCATCTGTAGGATGGAAGTGGTGTGTGGCAAAGGCGCTGCTTTTCACGCGAGCGGTCCGGGGATCAAATCCTGGGTCGTGAGTCGCCCGGGCCAACCAAGCCTTCCATCCCTTCCGGGGTCGGTTAATTGGTACCAGACTTGTCTGGGAGGATAAAAACTGACTTATACATCCCCGCATGTCACTGTATATGCCAAACCATATTCAAACTGCCACTACGAATTCTTACAATGCGGAAGTAGAATGCATGGCGCATCCCAAAAGTGGCATTGATCAACGGCAAATGCTTTATCCTTTATCCTTTATCACTTATCATCTTGTTACATACAGAAGCCCGCACGCGTGCTGTGCAGAACGGCTATAACAGTTCCTCCCTTCAATGGCACTATGTGTGCTTGATCTCTTTTGCCAAGGTGAGCCAAGACGGCTTGCTCCAGTGGTTTATTTATTTATTTACTTATTTATTTATTTATTTATTTATTTATTTATTTATTTATTTATTTATTTATTTATTTATTTATTTATTTATTTATTTATTTATTTATTTATTTATTTATTTATTTATTTATTTATTTATTTATTTATTTATTTATTTACTAATTGCACTCAAGGTGCGCCAATGTGAGAACATTTTTATTCATTATTTTTTATATTATATAATATTAATGTAGTATTGTTTATTTTATATTTATCATTATTATTACTATTCGTTATTTTTCATATTATTTTTAATTACTACCTATTTCTCAGCTCAATTTTTTAATCTTTCTTTTTAAATTTTTTTTATTTTTTTTTAAATTTTCTATTTCTCAGGTCAATTTTTTTTAATCCAGAACCATATCGCAATTATTATCAAAGTAAAAGCAAACATTTCAGGAAGGTGTGTTCAGCCGCGGAAATTCGCTGATGATGTCATTTCGTGAATCATACGAAACCCTCATCACTAAAGCCGAGGAGCTGCGGAAGAAAAGAGAAAAAGAAGCCAATAAAGTCGTCGAAAGCAAGCCCAGACCAAAAATCGAGCAATGCACAACCTAATCTGAATTCTCTCCATTTGAATGCTGTTTCAAATGTACTGCTTCGCTATTCAAATACTAAGGTTCAAATACGTCTAATACGTTCGAATTTGTTCAGTATTATCAAGTACTTACCTGAAATCATTAACAATTAATTCGTCGATGCTATCTATACACTATCAATATGTTGCTACAATACTTGCGATATGGTTCTAGATTTAAAAAATAAATAAATCTCATGAATGAATTTTAGTGGTGTATTATAGTATGAGCTCACCAAAATATCTTGAGTTTGAAGGGACAACCCAGCCGAAATAGTACATCATTGTGCACCAGCACAAATAAGAACTAAGTTGACTACCCCTACCCAGTGTGCGACATTTTTAAGCAGAAAGAAGAAGGGCTTGTTGTTGTGGTCCGCACTGTGTATTACAAGGTGTGGTTCACCACGACGGAAAGCGGGGTGTCCCCAAGAGGCCCATCGCGCGGCGAAGGAAGAGACGCAGATGCGGCAAAGGACGAGTCGCAGCGCGTGCTGTGCGATATGAGACGTAGTATGGTACACTCTATTTAACCTGACGCCTAACCGCTACAGTATGCGCTGCGACTCGTCCTTTGCCGCATCTGCGTCTCTCGTTCGCCGCACACGGCCTCCTTAGGATTTCTCCTATAAAAATCGCCCCCTTGCAAAGATTGCTCTCAACATGGCTTTATTATCCCCATCGCAGCACGCTGGCGTCTCTTATACTCTCCTCTTAGCGTCCAGTCTCTCATGGCCTTGGCGCAGCCGCTTTACGAAGGCGAGAAAGCCTTGAAATTAAGAGCTTCCGACCATTTACTTTCCTGATTTGTTTCCGGACGACTCATTTACCATCAATATTTTATTTTCGTGTCAGGACCACACTTTTGAAAGGATCACACTAACTGATTACATCTGTGGGCAATTTTGATTCTGGGGCATGGCTTCAAGCATTGCAGAAGGTCACCCGTAAAACGGTCTCGTCATTCAGTAGGTGATTGCATCTGTGAGCTCGTTTGTTCCTATGGAATGCAAAGAATTCTTTATTCGTAAAGCCTCCCAAAACAAAACTCGTAACAAGGGCTAAATACATGAATGGAACACCGGTCATATTAACTATAGCTAATACACATTTGGCAATAGAACAAATGAAGGACATTTGGACGAGCATCACAATATCATGCACAATAAATAACGGAAGCTGCACCAGAGTGAGTTCTCAAATCAGCCGAAAATTTAAAGAAGTATAATC